GTCAGTACTCGTCCCCAACTGATGTAGAACGCTATCATCATGATGTGGGATCGAAGGAGGCGGCTCCTTGGATGACCCTAATTATTACATCATCAGAAATAAAAGTTAATTAATTTTTGAAAATAAGAACTTTAAATTTAGTTATTTAATTGAAACTTATCTATAATTGGTTTGAAATATTAGAAAAGGTATAAATATGAGATGACAAAGTTAAAATACTTGGAATCTGATTTCAACTATATTTTAAAATGACCTAAAAATATAAAAAGTTTCTAAAATTTTGGGGAAGAACAATCAAGTTTAAAATATATTATTTATTGGAAAATAAAATATATTAGCGGTATTTCATCTTATATCTTTATGCTTCAAAAATTTGGCAAATCTTTGTTTTTGAAAATCCACATTACGAGTTTGAATTTTTAATTTTTGAAGTTATAAATTAACCAAATTTTATCTGATAAATGTTGCTTATCAAATCTGATAGGGGAATTTGTAATGATGCTAATTTCTTTGACATCTCATCGTCTTATTTCTTTATAAGTTTATTATTTAGAACAATAAGCTTTATTAAGAAATATTTTAGTGGAGACAATTTTAAAACTTGGTCTTAAATAGAAGTGTTCTTAACCAAAATTAAATAGTATCTAATAATTTTTAATTCATAATGCATAAATTCAAGAGAATAAGTTGGTATGGTGTCTAAATCGATAGATGTATTCTTTATATATATGTATCTTACTTAATGTTATTTATTTAGACCCCTTTAGATTATAATTAAATTAAATAGTTGGTAAAATTAGTCATTTTCTTTATAATACATTGGCAACTCTTCAATATTTGTATAGAATTTAGAGAAACTTTAATAATAATTAATTTTTAGATTAGTCCGAATTTTTTATATTAGATAGGTAAAATAAAAGCGGTTAGATTTAATTTTTTGTCTTTCAAAATAGGATTTAATATTAGTTTGATTTTTCAGAGTATTAAAAGAAGTATGTAGATAGTGATCGCAATACCTAGATAATCTCATTTTAATTTTTGAAAAATTATAGAGAGATTTTGGAATTTGCTTAATATTAATTAAGAAATATTATAATTAATTTATAAATTTCTTTAAAATAAACTAATCAACTAGATTAGTTTTAAATAATCTTTTATTATAAGTCGCAGTTTTGAAATAAACATAAATTTCATAAAAATGAAAAAGAAGAAGACCTTCGAATTTCTAAACTATAGAATCTGATCAATAACAACATAAAAGCCCCTCCTAACTTTATGATTTGTACATTTTTCACTTTATTTTTATGTACTCTATTCTCAAGTCTATATGAAAGCTATATGCATCTAATTAACCATCATCTCAATGAATAAATTTTTGCAATCAAATTCTATTCAATAAACTTCCTAACGAATAAAGCTAAATTGTTCAGAATACTTCAAAATCAAAAAGAATTATTTTGGCCAGCAAAAAACAGTTCTAATTATAAATAGCCGAATTGAAGATCTGAGCAGAGCACTAAATGAGACTTGCTCCTTGATTTAGGTTAAAGGGAGACTCAATTTTTAAATATTAGTCTAAGAGATAAAAAGAAAGGGGATATTAATTCTGAGACCATCTTAAAGAGAGTGATTCATATCAATATGAAGAAGGATAAAAGTAAACTGTTGTAACTGTACTTTTGTTAGAGATAAAAGCCAAATACCTTCTAATTTTTTACAGGTTAGTAGAAAGAAGGAGCAAGGCTAGAAAATACATCAATTCTCTGTAATCAAAATTCCTTCATGACCAATCAAGAATCTTATTAAACTATCTGAGTAGTCAGAGAAGTTTTTTTCAAACCTAGTTATTAAAGCTTGGATGTTATTTGAGCTCCTTCTCATATTTATCTTTGATTAAGTTCAGTAAATTTGAATAAGTATCTTAATATATTATATTATTTGAAAGATCTACTATATAATCTGTTTTTATAGGTTTACCTTTTAATTTTTACATTCCAATTTCTGAAACATTAAGTTCTAAAGTGAAAATAGGAAAATTATTGTCTAAAGTTACTTGGCATGTCTGGGATCTTATTCCCTGTAATGTGATAGAATTTGGAAACTATCTATATTCAACTCACTTTTTTCCTTTTAATATACATACTATGATGGATTAAAATATTGTGAAATTATTATAAATTTATATTAAATAAAGAAATGCAGTTACCTGTTTAATTGTTAACATATTTTACCATCTAACAGAGATCAAACGTAACTTTGAGTATAATATATTCTTAATTATTATGAATTTAATTAATAATTAAATAAAATGGCATATTAACCATTAGTAATCATTAAAACTTACAAAATAATTTTGATAGAATAATTAATTTCAATTTATCTTAAAATTTTGTTAAAACTCCATTCATTCAAACAATCGCGATTTCCATAAAAAATTATTCATAGAGGAATTTTCTTTTAACGTAAATCTAAATAGTTCTTTTTTTATATTTCTACTTTTAAAGTTTATGAATTTTTATAAAATTTGATATATATCTATTTCATGATAATTATCAAGTTTTTATAAAAATAAATTTGCTTTAAAATTCTATTTCTAAATAATATATTTCAATATCTCTATAACCAGATAAGAAAGTTTAATTTGAAGTTTATATGTGACTGTTATTCAGTCTAATATTATGATTGATAATTATTTCAAATAAATTTGTTTTCTCTAATTGGTCAGCATAAATCTTCCATAATTCTGCTTTACAATCACTAAAAATAATTACTAAAAAACAAAAAAAAAAATATAGAATGAAGTCTTTAACCTATCATTAAAATTTGATAGTAAACCATCCTTAAGGCTACCTAACTTTCGCATAAAATTTGGGTCTATTTGCTTATTTTCTCATAGAAGGGCTATTTATTTCGGTTGATCCATACCAATTTCTTCACATTTCCATTCCAAAACTTAAGTCTCTGGATGCTTCAAATTTTGAAATCAAAATTCATAGCTTTGCCATTAAATAAAAAATTTTCATTATTTTAATTATGCAAATTGACTCAATCTTCTATGCCCAAGCTTTTAGATTTGTTTTTAATATATTGAATTGGTAATCGTTATATTGATTTAAAACTATGAATCCAAGTAGTTATTTTCTTAAAAACAATTATAAAAGAATTAATTTTAATACGCTAAGGTTTATCATCATCATTGATATATAAAAGTATAAAATAGTCATAAATTGTTTTTTCATAAAAATATTCGAATTGAAATTATAGTAATCTGCATAAAATTATTAATTTGATTTCAATTCTATATAATTTTTAAATAGATTATAATGAATAAATTTTGTATCATAATTTATTTTTTCATATTATAATTAACTTTATTAAATTAAGAAATACAAATTTAATTTACTTATCTTAAGATAGATATTAAGTAAGACAATATTAATTTATTAATAAAAAATAATATTTTTATTCATCATAAAATACAGTTATAAAAATATGTTGCTTTATGGAAATAGAAGTGTATCTTTCGTCCCATTAAATTCTTATCTCTTTGATATTATTCCCTATTCCTTTTTGACTAGCTAAATAAATGATAAATTAAAACTTTAAAAAATATTATTTCTTATCCTACATTTATCTAATATAGATTTTATATCGAATATTAGATGCTGAAAAAAAGTTTATACTATTTATTTAATAAAATCTTACATTTGTAGTGAAACATACAACTATAAAGATTCATAGATAAGTTATTGTATTTATAGCTTCTTGTAAGTTATAGTTTAATTTTGAAATAACCTACCTATTAATCAATAATAAATTACATTTTCGAATGCTTAGCTTGAATCGGATCGGTTAATTTATTTGTATTTTTGAATCCTAAAATTTTAAAAGCATAAGTTTATTATACATATATAAACATAAAGTTCTCTTCATCATTTAAATTTTCACCAAAGATAAAAACTCTAATATAGTTAATTTTCTATTTTTATCTGTTAAGAATTAACTTAATTTAACGAATTCAAAATCATTATGTTTGTCAATATACAAATCTATCAGATGAGATTATAGCCACATCATCAGTAGATACAAATATTCTTGTAAACTTCAAAAATTTCTATATTTCTGGTTCTTTCTTAATCTATTTCATATCAATATCTATCTTATTAATCTATCCTAATATCAAAAATTTAATCAAAAATAAACATGAGAAAGGGAGTTGAAAGAACCTGAATAAATCCATAAAGGTATGCTTTTCATTTTTCTATATCGTAGTAATCATACCAAAACGAGAGACTGGGTCATCTTTAGTGTCTTTCTTTCCTTTAATTGAATCAATAAAGGAGCTAACTATATATAATTATTTTATTCTAAAAAATTAGCATATTTATAACTTGTCATCTATATTAATGAAAACAATATTAATATTAATTATAGCTTGATATCCAATGAAGAGATAGAGAATTTATCAGATAATCTTTATTTTTTAATGAGTAAATTGAGAAAAAATTATTGTCAAGTAATAGAATGGTTGAGAATGATAACAAAAAAACTTTTTTATGAAAAATTATAGGATATTTATGCTAAATATTTATTAATGATGTCTAAACATATTCATTTAATATTTGTTAATTTCTAAATTAATTGTCTAAACTCATTTTATTCAAATTTACAATAAAAAACTGCTTGCTCATAATTATCTTTTGCTTATTAATATTTCTTCAATTAAGTTAGTAAATAACCTATTAAAATCAAATAAATTGATTAACCTTTATTGAAATAAGCTGATGCATAATTAGGATCTAGTTTGATTGCTTTATCATAGCAATCAATTGCATCGTTATATTATTTTAGATTGTTTAAGGAATTGCCTATTAAAATCAAACTAATTGATTAACCTTTATTATTATAGGCATTTGCATAATTAGGATCCAGTTTGATTGCTTTATCATAGCAATCAATTGCATCGTTATATTATTTTAGATTGTTTAAGGAATTGCCTATTAAAATCAAACTAATTGATTAACCTTTATTATTATAGGCATTTGCATAATCAGGATCCAGTTGGATTGCTTTATCAAAGCAATCAATTGCATCGTTATATTTTTTTAGATTGTTTAAGGAATTGCCTATTAAAATCAAATAAATTGATTAACCTTTATTATTATAGGCATTTGCATAATTAGGCTCCATTTGGATTGCTTTATCATAGCAATCAATTGCATTGTTATATTTTTTTAAATCATCTAAAGAACAGCCTATTAAAATCAAATAAATTGATTAACCTTTATTAATCTAGGCTGATGCATAATTAGGATCCAGTTGGATTGCTTTATCAAAGCAATCAATTGCATCTTTTTATTTACCTAGACTTTATAATGAATACCCTTAAAATATAAAACAAGTAAACTACCCTACATCATATAACCAATAGAATATTTAACATCGGAATTTAATGCTTTTTCAATGCACTAAATTGCTTATGAATGTTACTTCAATGAACATAAAGAAAAGCCTGTTGTACATATTATATGATTACTTTTTCTATATAATGCATGTAGATGTTAAGGTTCTTCTATCAAAACTTTATCACATTATTAGATTGCTTCTTGAAATTTCTTCTCTTCATTTAATGCATAACCTATTAAAATTATTGATTTCATTTACTTTTTGCAATTAAAACAAACTTATTTTATGGATTTTATGTTAGTTCTTTATTTGAATAATCCAAAAGATCTGTATATAGGTTACTATTAATCTATTTAGCTTATTCTCTCAT